CACGAGCACCCAGACGCCCTGGCCCTGCGGTTCCTGCGCGCCCGCAAGTGGGACGTCAACCGGGCCCTGGTCATGATGTTCTCCGCCATGAACTGGCGGCACAACGAGGCCAAGGTCGACGCCGACATCATGGCCAACGGCGAGGAGGTGCTCGTCAACGACGAGGAAAAGGGCGAGGTCAAGAGCAAGGCGCTGGCCCGCGACTTTATGAAGCAGATCCGCACAGGCAAGAGCTTCATCCACGGCACCGACAGGCAGAACCGGCCCATCAGCTACGTCCGCGTGCGCCTGCACAGGGCCTCGGACCAGTCGGTCGAGAGCCTGGAGAGGTACACGACCTATCTCATCGAGACGGCGCGCCTGGCCCTGAACCCCCCGGTCGAGACGGCCACCCTTATCTTTGACCTGTCCAGCTTCACCCTGGCCAACATGGACTACGTCCCCGTCAAATTCATCATCAAGTGTTTCGAGGCCAACTATCCCGAGTCTCTCGGCGCCATTCTTATCCACAATGCCCCGTGGGTTTTCAAGGGTACGTGAATCCCCTCCTATTGGCGTAACCCCCCCCCGTCTTCACCAGCTTCCACTAACACGCCGCCCGGCAAATAGGCATCTGGAAAGTCATCTCTGCCTGGCTCGACCCCGTCGTCGCCGCCAAGGTCCACTTTACCTACGGCCGCAAGGACCTGGAAGAGTTTATCCACCCGTCGCAGATTATTAAAGAGCTAGGCGGCGACGAGGACTGGGATTATGTGTACGAGGAGCCCGTGCCCGGCGAGAACGACGCCATGAAGGACACGGCGGCGCGCGACGCGCTGCAAAAGGCCCGCGAGGACCTCGCCGAGCAGTTCGAGGCGACGACGAAGCAGTGGATCGCGAACCCGACGGGCGCCAAGGCCACCGAGCTCAAGGCCAAGCGCGAGAGCATCGCCGCCCAGCTGCGCGAGAACTTTTGGAAGCTCGACAAGTACGTGCGCTGCCGGTCCCTGTACGACCGCCAGGGCAACATCCGCCCGGGCCAGAGGACCATCTGGTACCCCGAGGCCGCTGAGAAGAACGCCGTCGACACCGCCGTCCCCGGCGTCACCACCATTGAGCAGATTGAGAATGCTCCCCTCGCGGCCGCCGCGCAGGTCACGGCCTAGACGGGGCGGGCAGTGTACAACAAGACGGGCGAGCTTGGCTCATGGTGGAGACGGCATTTACGACTAGAGGAGGGGGAAAAACGGTTTCTCTTGAGATGCGTACGACTGAATGTTGACGTACAATGACTTTTTTTAACGGTCGAGATCTAGTATTCGAGGTTCTTTTTGTGTATGTGCGTGCAAAGGCATTTGGTTAGCTCAGAACAACAGTTCTATATTATATATCATATATTATACCCCTTTTCACGTATGAAAGGCGTCGCGTTTCCCCTGTGGCACCCAGAAGAGAGTCGGCTTGTAGTTTAGACATGAACGCCGCGATATGCATGCCATGACACCGGACGCTAGTTGAAGTGTTTAATCAGGTTGGTGGTGGTGCCTTGTCACGTGTATGTGCATCAGACCAGGAGGAAAAGGCACCCTCTTGCCAATTTATTTCCATACTCCGTCCATCAGGCCAAACCTTATCACTGTCTGAGCTTGGCCCAACTTCTGGGCGACACCACGGCTCGTCTCCCGTCGCTGATGCCCTTGGCTGGCATCTTCCAGACAGGAAATGACTGGAATCATCGTGCCGTCAGCAGCAGCTCCACCGTAGCCCCGTATCCTGGGCTCAGTACAGGCTCCTACGACGGCCTCAGCATCAGCAGTCTCCCGCCAATCTCGCAATCGCGGCTGTCGGTTCGTCGTGCCTGAGCGCGTCCCGCATCGCAGCAGGGCCGTGACCGAAGCCGTCGTCTCGTGCACGCCATCACTGCGCACTGCGTCAGCTGCTCCGGCCATGTCGACGACGCTTGTCCCCGTCTGCCGACGACGCGGCGAGGCATTTCCCGCTCGAGGACCGGCGGAATCAAACCGCTCGACACTGGGGAGCCGCCGTTGGCAGGGGTGGGCGTGCCGGCGTCGGGGTCACGACGCAGCAGCGCGTAAAAACATTGACTAAAAGAGTGGGCTGTGCACTCGCCGGTGGTGTGATGTTGGGATACATTTGCCCGGCGCAAAGGGCGTACTGGACGAGGCTCTGCAGATGCCGGACGGTTGTGAGCTTTCGACGCTGCGGTGCCGCAGATCAACTCGCAACTGCCGATTTGTGTTTTTTGTATCGACATGGACTTTTTCTTGTGGCTGTTGTCGGCCCAAGCTGGTACAATGCTCTGCTGTCTGGGTCGTGTCGACACTAGTCGGTACGAACCACGCGCATTGTTTGGTTTCCTCTTTCGCTCTCTCTGACATGCCGCAGGTATCTTGGCAGGGGCTGCGTCGACGAGAGCCGGGCGCATGCAGAAAATGGGTGAGACATGTCCATTAGGCGTAGCCCGTCTCGGGTGCTCTCGTGTGGAATGCAAAGCCGGGCCCTCGTCTTGCTGCTTTCGTATCACCACCACGACGACATCTCGCATCAAGTCCATCTCCGCAAACCCGCCCTCGTTTCATTACGCCTCCATGCTCTCTGCCGTACCCAGGGGAATCCCGTCGCCAACGGACCAATCTTCAACCGCGTCGTTGTCATGACTAATTCTCGAAATAAGCTATTATCCAAGTGCGGATCCGTTGCTACAGATGATGTGGACCTACATGGGACCACGAGCAAACTCTTCGAGATTCTCTCCAGCTGGGGTCTTCTCCATGTTGGGGTTTGTTGGGGGACAAAGATGGAACAAGAGTCACATTGCGTCCGCAAACGAGGGGAGAGATCCGGCCGTCTTTGGAGAGACAAGCGGGAGGGAAAGCTGCATCAACACCAACGTGGCCTGGGTTTGCCAACAATTCGTCTACTCTCTTTCTCTCTCTCTCCTTTTACCCCCCTTCCCTCTCTTTGCACAGAAACAGCCGAAAATGCGCCTATCCCATCCATCTGGCCCAGAATACGCGCCACACCCCCCTGCCCATCCGCTATCTCTGCCAACATGGAGTCTCCATGACTCGGCTTTCCACGGCCCTCTCAGAAAATTCTTCACGCCCTTTAGATAACGGGAGACCCTCGGGCAAATTGACATTTGTTCGTCGCACCCAGTCTTTTTAAAGATGTGTCGGCGTCGCTCCCAACCTGGCCTGGCTCCCAAAGCTGCTTCCTCTTTGCCGCTGGGTTGAGGATCGTTTCTCTCGAAGCCTCTTTTGCCCGCCACCCTTCTCGAAAATTCTCTCCCCATCATGGCTGAACAAATCACCAGCACCCCTGCGCCTGCCACTGCCACTGCCGCCGTCAAGGCCAGCGCCGACTCCGGGAAGCCGTCAGCCGCGACGCCACCGGCGTCGTCCCCAAGCCATCCGCTGGGCCTAGCCGACACCGACATCTTCGGCGAAACGAGCGAGGAAATGGACCAGGACCGCCTGAAGCAAATCGCGGCCGCGGGCAACGCCCACTTCCACCGCCTGGGATGGAAGCGGCTCGCCGTCGTCACCATTGTCGAGGCCGTGGCCCTGGGCGCCCTCAGCCTGCCGGCCGCATACCACACGCTGGGCATGTTTGCCGGCGTCTTCCTCACCATCACGCTGGGCTTCATTGCCATCTTCACGAGCTGGCTCGTCGGCCAGGTCAAGCTCAAGTACCCGGAGACGGCCAGCTATGCCGACGCCGGCAGGCTGCTGCTGGGCCGGTTTGGCTACGAGGTGTTTGGCGCGGCGCTGGTGCTCGAGCTGGTCATGGTGGTCGGGTCGCACGCCCTCACAGGCAGCATCGCGCTCAGCGACCTCAACGACGGCCGCACCTGCTCCATTGTCTTCTCGGCGGTGTCGGCCATCATCCTGCTGATCCTGGCCATCCCGCCGTCCTTCACCGAGGTCGCCATCCTGGGCTACATTGACTTTGGCTCCATTGTGGCCGCCGTCGGCATCACCATCATCGCCACGGGCATCCAGGCGCGCGACGGGCCCGGTGGCCTGTCGGGCGTCGGGTGGTCGGCCTGGCCCAAGGAGGGCGTGACCTTTTCGCAGGCGTTTGTGGCCGTGAGCAACATCATCTTTGCCTTTAGCTTCGCCATCGGCCAGTTCTCCTTCATGGACGAGATGCACACACCCACCGATTACATGAAGTCCATCTGGGCCTCGGGCCTGATCCAAATTGCCATCTACACCCTCACCGGCGCCCTGTGCTACGCCTTTATCGGCCCGTCGGTCCAGTCGCCCGCCCTCTTGTCGGCGGGGCCGCTCATCTCCAAGATTGCGTTTGGCATCGCGCTGCCCGTCATTTTCATCTCGGGCTCCATCAACTCGACCGTGGCCCTCCGCTACATTCACGGCCGCATGTTCAAGAACTCGGTCCTGCGGTACATCAAGACGCCGCGGGGCTGGGCGTCGTGGATCGGCCTCGTTACCATCTTCACCATCGTTGCGTGGGTCATTGCCGAGGCCATTCCCATCTTTTCCGACCTGCTCTCCCTGGCGTCGGCGCTTTTTGTGTCGGGCTTCTCGTTTTGGATCCCCGCCATCATGTGGTTCAAGCTGCTTTGCCAGGGAAAGTGGTATTCCGGGCGGAATCTGCTCATCAGCCTCGGCAGCATCGTGGCATTCGTCATTGGCGCCGTGACGCTTGTTGCCGGCACCTATTCCACCATTGTTGATATTGTAAGTCTGGAAAAAATCCTCGTCTTTTTTTTTTTTTTTTTTGCGCTTGTTCAGTGGGCTAACTTGGTTTTCGCAGATCAAAGAGACGAACGACGGTTCGGCTCACAGCCCCTTTGCCTGCCGATCAAGTTGAGAGAGTCGGGAGGTTTGTTCATATAAATCACATGGAGCGTGTACATTACATAGATATACATATATGCATAAGACGATGGCATGGTGGCAAATTAGAGAACTGGCATTACTACGTTTTTTTTCTTCTTACAAATTCACTGCATCTCTCCCCCGTAGCCATCACACGTCCTCGAGAACCTCGAGGAACTTGGCAAAGTCGTTTGGCACGCCGAGGCCGGTGATTGCGTCCCATCCCTGCTTGGCCGGCCAGCCACCGGGGCTGACCTTGTCCCAGGTGCACGAGTAGCTCTGGCCCTTGGTGATGTCCTGCAGCAGAGAGGTCACCTTGTCCGAGTACAAGATCTCGTTGAGCCACCCCAGCGAGGGCTTCCCCTTTCTCAGGCGGGCATCGTTGACGAGGGAGATCATGGCTGCAAAGACGGGCGCGCTCGCGCTGGTGCCCTCGAGGAGCTTGCGGCGGGCGCCAACAATCACCCGGAAGTTGGTCCCCACGGCCGAGATGTCCGGCACGGCCCTCATGCTGGCGTTGTAGTACCCGTCCAGGTGGCCGTTGATCTCCTCGACGTATTTGTCCACGGCGGCCGCCTGCCACGCGGGCCGCTCAAAGTACTGGGAGAAGCCGCCGGAACTGAAGCCAGCGCCGGAGGGGGGCTCGGCGGTGTTGGTGGTGGCGCCCACGGCCGTCACCCACGGACACGACGCGGGAAACGTGGACATGGTGACCTTTTTGTTGGTGCCGTCCTTGGTGCGGCAGTTGCCCACGCGGCCGCCGGCCGAGCCGCCGTCCCCGGTCGAGTGGATGATGGAGGTGCCGCGCTTGGTCAGGAGGCCGAGCATGCCGCAGACGCGCTCGGCGTAGGGCCGGGGCACTGACAGCTCGTCGTCGCCGTAGGACACGGACAGCACGTGCGGCACCTCGTTATCGGGCTTGTCGAGCAGCGCCTGGATGAACTCGAGGTACGGCTCGTTGTCGAGCTTCTTGCCCGTGACGGGCTTGCCGTCGTCGCCAATCTTCTCGCCGCGGCCGCCGGTCGCGTAGTAGGTGACCTGGGACGGGAAGCCGAGGCCCATGACGTACTCGAGGTC